AGTTGATGTCACATATCGACGTGAAAGACAGAAGTTACGAACAATTGACGTGCCGATAATTGTGTTAAAGAAGAGAAAAAGTTTATTCTCCAGCGAGTTATATCAATCAAGTGAAACTTCATCAATATCGCGACGAAACGGACACTGCGTCATTAGTAGAGTCAGAAGTGACTATTACGAGAGAGAGAGAGAGAGTGGGATAGGGAGAGAGAGAGGGTTATACGAAGCTATTATTGCCGAAAGAATTGAATTATATGCGATAATAATGACAATCCGCGGACGGAATTTTCTTCGCGGTGGCCGTCGCGTTATTACCGCGGGATTTATCATCGCACCACGCGGGGTAATGAAAAACGCACTGCGCAGTTTGGAAAATGAGAATTCGCTGGCTTCGCTCTCCGAAAATTGAGCGTGCGAACTAATGCGGAACGAGAAGAATGCAAATAACGTCGATTCGGTCTGGACGTTCGCCTAGAGAGTGCCTCTTTTGCTCTTTCTCTCTCTCTCTCTTTTTCTCCCTTTCTCTTTCTCCCTCTCGCTATCTGTCTCTCCTCTGCCGCGCTAGTCGAAAGCTCATTCGACGCACAATTAAGGTGTGTCGGGTAATATTCGTTTGGTGGTAACGCGTCTCGCGCTGGTGAAGTATTATTTTCGAGAATATACGCAAAGGCAGATAAACTTGCACCACGCCTTCCTTTCCTTCGCCCTCCGATCGGATTTTCCTTCCGCCATTTTCTTTTTATTTCGACACCATTATTATAAAATCATTAGGACTCTCCGCGACGTGGCAATACGCGATGCACACACGACTCGAATTTACCGACCTCCCTCCATCTTTCCATGGAATCCCGAAATAATGTTTCATTTTCCAGCGATCCGAGTAATTTAATAATTCAACAAACTGGCGAGTGAGCAATACATTTGAAATCTTTGTTCGCGGGCATATTACGTGAAATATGTACTTGCAGCTTTTATAAAATATTAATAACTGTTTTGGAGAGAGGAAGAGAGAGAGAGAGAGAGAGAGAGAGAGAGAGAAAGAGGAGAAGGGAAAGAGATCGATAATTGCTTACTTAAAAATTACGTGTAACGCTACTAAAAGTAGCGAAAAGCAAATGCGTTAATATTTAATCAGATATAACGTTAAAGTTACATTTCCAGTCGCGAATATTTGAGATCCTTTCCAGTGGTATTAAATCTTCACCATTCGAGTCACCGTTCACCCGTCTTAATTGGGTACCATGTAGCTTCATGAATTTATGGTCGGAGAGCGCAACGGTCATTCGAGACGACGACCGTTAGATCTCATTGAACATGTCCCTTTTATTATTTTACGGCCTGCTCTACCTCGCCGGTATATATTCTTGATTACGCTTCGCATATTACAGTCTCATCCAGCAAATTTATTGCTCGTTACATCGCGTTACGGAGAAGTCTTCTGCAAAAAAATCCTACACGAAGAAAACAATTCCGTTAGCGTAACTGAATTTTCCGTTGCCTGGTAAGAATAGGAACCAGATGAAAAACTCGCGGTCGTGAGAACAGAAAAATTCCTACGAAAGGTTTCCGCTCAGTCAGTTATCCTCAATTGTTGCAATCGAGTTTTTAATACAGCCGACTGTTCGGGCAAATGTTTTCTGTTGCGCGCTCACAGAGACATATCATTTCTCGTCGCCGAATTTTCATCTGTTCCTTACTCAGTTGCGAACTGAAAGTTTTTTCCCGTGTAAGAGCGACGTTCTTACAACGATCAATCCGTGCATGCATAGGATATTTCGCGAGTGAGATTCGTCGCGAAATCTCTCGTTAATTTCGATCTGACATCCGTCGCATGTTTCATATAAATTTTCATGTCAGCTCCGCGCAAACGCCGTACGTTCGTTCTACTTCTTCAATTAGTCGCGAATAATATCGTTATTTCCTGTAATTTCTACCGTCCCAGCGCTTCGTTTTCAAAATACATACGTTATTCCAATAATCATGACGCGTCCGCGACCAGTTTATGATAAGAAAGAGAGAGAGAGAGAGAGAGAAACCGTTTTGGAGGTCGCGCAACGACGACTCAGTCACTTTGACTGAGTCTCTGAGTTTCTCCTCTTCTTAGCTTATCATTGTTCCGTTTAATTACGTTTACTTCATCACTCCGTTTCCTCAAGCACTCCTCGCGTTAAACCCGCATCTGTTATCTTTATATCCGGCGCTACTCTCGCGGCGTCGATATAGATACGCAGAACTTTGTGCTTGACGCAACACGCGGACATACATAATCCGAAATGGAAACTGATTACGAAGGGATTTCATCCATGAGATTATGTGTGAATTCATTTCGATACGGTTGGGAAATATAAAGAATCACGCGCGACAAATGGAATTCTCACGCGTACATGTGCAACTGTGTGTATTGACTGAAGTACATATATACATGTAAAATTCGCAAATAATAACCGCAATAATAACCGTTATCAAGCGGTCCTCATTCGTCTATCTTCCATCGAATAAATGAATGCACGATCGCAGGAGAGATCGAACGAGAATACGTTAATAAATAGAAACCGTGAGCTTTCCTTCGCGAAGGAAGGAGAGCGCTTTTATTTACTGTATCCATAAACTCTAAGCTTTTCCACGATTCGTTGTGTGTGTGTGTGTGTGTGTGTGTGTGTGTGTGTGTGCTGTATGTGTGTGGGTTGGTGCATTAACCAGGTCGAAAGTCGCAATCCTGCACCCCTGGAATTCATTTTGCGGCAAACTACGAGCGAGTGTACACCTCGTGAGCGTTTAGTCTGCAAACATTCTCCGCCCTAATCGCATTACTGTATTTTCCTGACGTATCTTCCGGTACATATCGGTTCCGTGTAATCATCATTCCCGGTTGCGGTCCGCGGATCAAGAACACGATTCCGCCGTGTGTATGCCCGTGAGCGGTCGCGCGAATGCAATAGCAGTAATAGTCACGACGGGGCCGATTTTATTAAGGAAACTCGAATGTGTGATAAATAAATTATCATTACGAGAATATACGATTGCGAAATAATCAATATGTGTATTTATAAATGTATGTGTGTATTACATATAAAAGTAGGTGTTATTAGACTTGATGAGAGAGACATAATAAGTAATGCAATATTTCAGCCATGTATCAAGTATAAATAGAAATATATGAATAAATAGAGATATACGGATAAATAGAGAGATACATAGATAAACAGAGATATATGGATAAATAAAGTTTACATTAGAAAATACACGGAGAGAATGTTATAGTTTTTTCATATAAATTTTTTTCAATTTTTATTATATTTTTTATATTTATTATATTTTTATTATATTTTTATTATATTTTTCAATATTATTATATTTTTATTATATTTTTTAATTCAGAAACAGACTATTAGTAAAGTCCATCTTGCTGAGAAACATAGTAAATTTTCCTAGAAACATAAGTGTTTCAATAGCACATTTTAGTTCTTAAAATACAAGTGGCACATATGAAACAAAGGAATAGTGGATTACTGCAGAATGTTGATCTATTCCTCCATTACGAAATCCTATATAGTAATGTTTGCTATAAAATTCTCTCCATGTAACTAGACTCAAAAGTCAATGCGATTTACATTTAAACACTGCATGCACTACGCAGTAATATGAGCGTTTATAATTGCACACTCACCATTCTGCGACGATATTCCACGATGTCCAGCCGTCCTGAAACTCGTCGATGAAACCCGCCATCACTATCCCGACTGCATCATCCAACATTTGTTCAGCGTCCAGTCTCCGCAATATCTCGTCTCGTCGTCCCGCGTCCACATCGCTTCGCTCTCTTTATTGCGCATTTTAATCGCGACCGCGATCATTTAAACGACATTTGGCGATTTAACGGAAAGTACGCGATAAATTTAGATGCTATGAAAATAGATATTTTTTAAGTCACCAATCGTGTGTAAACAAACGCGGATCAAAGATCACGACGCTTTCGACGGAAAAATAAAGAAAAAGAAAACGTTTCACGAATGTTTATATTTCGTTAATAAACAGAGTTCTCGTTGTATATATATGAAGTTTAATATTAGAAATACGATAAATATGCGCGTACCGTATTTAATAATGATTCTATCACATTTATTCGCAATGAGTTATAATGTTATTTTAGTACATACTCTTACGGCACTATCGCGTACAAAAAGTCGATAAATCCGTGAGCGAAAACACGACGCGAATTAAGGACCTATCGCAAAATCCATTAACGCGGCACGTAGCCGTGAAAGCCCGCGGATAGTATAAAATTATCACATATAATGCTGCAAACATTTGTGCGAAGATTGTTCTGCGACACTCAGCGATATCTTTGCGAAATTGGCTTCCAAAATATTTCCCGAATGTTTGCGAATTTAATAAGTTTTCTAACACCGTAATCGCAAACTCTAAAGTAAGTATAGGAACATCAGAGAGCGCGCGTGTGATCAAAATATAGTCATAACACATATACGAAATTTATATGTTGAATTATTCTTATCTGGCAGAATTGTTCTCTGTGATATCGAATACAACAAATTTCATCTCTATTTGCGAAATTACAAATTGCGATAAAAACGTAGAAAAAATTTAAAAGGAACTAATGATCACGGCGAGACCTATCGATGCGAATGAAGTAATCATAAATTCCGCGATTTGGTGGCGCAATTCTGATGTGCATTATAAATTTGCAAAAAACAGTTGAGGAATCACACCGTGCTAATAGCTGCGCTGAATAATTCTGCAACCTTATTTGAATAAGAAAAAAATTTAATTATTATATAAGTATATTCAGATCCACAGACATGAGGTAATTCCCCAATTGTTTTAAGCAGTATATTCCATGCAAAAGGACATATACAACATGCAAAAATCTAGAATCAAAATAAATCGCATTGACTTGTCCAGTTTTATAAATGCCCACTACGTTAAAATTATATATTTACCACCGTTCAGTTAGTAAATTTTTCTCATTCACACAACCTAGTCGACTCATATAAACCTCGTCGAGTCAAGCTCCGCCGTGTTCTGCTTTCTACTCTGTAATAAAAAAAATAACGTCACTGATTAGTTTTAATGGTCTAGTTTAACGGATAAGTATGCATATGAATACAGAAAATGAAATATACTAACCTTCGAACAGAATTGGCTTGACTTGAATCAAATTTTTCAATATTGCATCCATAACTACTCGAATTATTAATATCTTCGTTGCAATCTATATCCAGAACTAAAACAAAGAAAATATTTACCTAATTAGTCACAATCATAAAGAAATTACTCGATTTCGAGTTCACTGAAGATAAATATTCAATCACTTTTAGAATACACGATGATCGACGAAGATTCGGTATCGCGAATATCTTTAACATTGTCTTTCGCTCTTGTTATCACCTTTGATTATCGCCGCATTTTTAAATCTCCATTAATAAATCCGATGTTTATCCGATTCTGCTAATGCTTGAGTGAGTCGACGGTCATGACAAACATAGATGCATCTAGAGAAGATTATTCGCTATTAACGCTACTAACGTATTTACCATATGTCCCAATGATTGCACATCGCTATTTCTATATCAGACTCATTTCTGACAGACAAGGAACGCTTAAAATGCGGAGCAATGTCGATCAACGTGTTCGTGGTGGTTGCTCGATGCAAAGATATCGAAATTAAATATGACTGCGCAACCGATAAGGTGTATCGAAAGTGCGCGCCAAGAAAACGATATCGCTTTTCTACAGCGCGCTTACGGAATATATCCCTCTTTCTCTCTCTGACTAACTGATGCTATCACTCGAAAGAGAAAGAAAAAGAGAGAGAGAGAGAGAGAGAGAGAGAAAGAGAGAGAGAGAGAGAGAGAGATAGAGAGAGAGAGAGAGAGAGACGCCGCGTATATTTCTAGTATTATGCCACCTTTCTATTTATCACGACACTTCTAATTCCTGACTAATAAACCCGACGATCGTCCAATTCAATCCCTACTTGAGCGAGACGATGGTAATAACAAGTGCAAAAGACGCTCGAAACATCGCAACTAGTATCGCTCGGATACACCAAGTAACGAGGAGATTACTCTCCATTACTCTCCAATAACGTACCTGCGATACATCCCGACGATCGCATATCGCTATTCCCACACTCCCGATACTCATTTCCGTCTGAGACTCGCTTTTGACAGGCAAAAGGCACGTAAAACGCGGGGCGATGTCGATCTTTGCTTTCGTGGCGGTTGCTCGATGCAAAAAGATCGAAATCAAATATGGCCGCGTAATCGATCATGTATGTAGAAAGTGCGCGCTAAAACGTAAGCGGTGTCGCCCTCCTACAACGACGTGGCGCGCTAAGGAAGCCCTGTGTGGTATATCCATAGACATCGGTTGCTTTCCAACAAGAGACACAAGTCGACACAAACATCATTCTATCTTTGTCCCACATTTAGTGAGTAACAAAGATAGGGTGATACTTGTGTCAACTTGTCTCTTGTTGGAAAGCAACCATAATATATCTAGACCGAGCGTTTGCCTTTATTTGAGGAGTGGGGGTAAGAGTACGTAGAAAAGGATGCATTGCGTTTTGGGACCCTGTGTTCTCTCTCAAAACGCAATGCATCCTTTTCTACGTGCCTCTTACTCTCACTCCTCAACGTTCAGTCTAGATATACCATAGCCGGTATTCATAGTCCGATCTTATATTTCAGATCATCTTAAGTACTGTCTTAAGATGTCATGAATCCGGAGCCGTATTCGCTTAAGACGTTACTTAAGACGGTCTTGAAATAATATTCGACTATAAATACCAGCCTATGTCTCTAGGTGTACCTCACTTTTTCTCTCTCTCTTTCGTTCTTACTAACAAGTCGACGCTGTCGCCCAAGATTCGCGCGCGTATATCTTTGGCGTCATATCACTATTCATCACAGCGTTTCTAGTTCTCGACTAATAAATCCGACGATCGTCTGATTCTATCACTACTTGAGCGAGACGATGGTAATAACACGGTATAAGAGACACCGACTCGCGATACGTCACGACAAGCACGGACAAGTACGAACTGGGAAACGAGAGGATTATTTGCTAGTACAATGTAATCGCTACTTACAATGCGTCCCGACGATCGTACATCGCTATTTCGACACTCCCAATACTTATTTCCATACAAGACGCACTTTTCGCAGAACGATGTCGATGGATGTTTTCGTGACGGTTGCTTGATGCAAAAAAATTGAAGATGCGCACTCTACACACAGCGCGAGGACGCTCGGCACGCCGCGGCGCGTCGCGACAGCCAATCAGCGCGCTGCATTTTTATATAGCTAGATTATAGACTACGGTATCGCTTCTTCAAGGATCTCCTCATTCAGGGTTATCGATTATGTATCCTTTTCACTCGCGTGAACTCGTGAAAATTGAAATATTCCTTCAAATTCGTCAGCGAAACTCTTCGCTTTTTATGAATTCACGTCAAAGAAAAAGATATGTGATCGATACTCTATATGCTGAAATCATCAGTCCCGCTGATATTTTACCATCAATATAGGGATAATTACTAATAGGGAAAGTTTTCGACCAAGGGTACTATTCCGTTTTCGCGTACCGACAGTTGTCGGATTGGTAGGCGTCGTTGCGCAGCTTTTTTTATACCGTGAAAAAATTGCGCAACGACGCCCACCGATTCGACAACTGTCGGTACGCAGGAACGGAATAGTACCCCTCATCTAGCTATGCATTTCTCACGATTGTTGACTAATCCAGAAAGCGAATTGTATTTTCTGGATTGGCAACAGTGATGGGAAATGCGTGTAGCTAGAAATGAATGAACTTTCAATAACTATCAATTTATTGAGTCCGCTCTGTCAATCTATCGAATCGATCTATCGAATGTCGATAACCGCGGAACTAAATAGAGAGCGTCGTTGTAGCAGCGCGCCTGTCTTGGATCCTTTTGCGTCGAATAACCGCCATAAACACATCGATCGACATCGCTCCGCGTTTTACGTGCCTTGTGCTTATCAAAAGTGAGTCTCGTACGGAAATAAGTATCGGGAGTGCCGAAATGGCGATGTGCAATCATCTGGCTGTATTATGAGGACATTATTGGTAAGTAATCTCTTCATTTTTCGACATATACAGCCGGTACTTGTCGCGACGTGTCGAAGCAGCGTTCCTTACACTTGTTATTACTATCGTCTCACTCAAGTAGATAGAATCGACGGATCGACGGATTTGTCAATCAAGTATTAGAAATATCGTGATAATTAGAGGAAATTAGAAAATAAAAATGTGTGTTAAGCCCATTCTACAATTGCGTGAACGTGGTTGTAAGTGGTTGTAAGTGATTACAACAATCAATCAGAGTAAAGCAATCATTGAATAAAACATTCGAATTGATTGACTCTTACGTTCACGACTACGCTTACGCAATTGTAGAATAGGCTTTACGTCGAATCTCAGGCAGTAGCGTCGATCTAGTAATAAAAAGAAGTGAGAGAGAGAGAGAAAGAGAGAGAGAGACATGTACTTTGCAAGAAAACGCGTTGTAGGAGGGCGACATTGTTTGTCGTGGCGCGCTTTAGGCGTACGTCGTCAATTGAGTAGCCATCTTTAACTTCGGCCTTTTTGCATCAAACAACCACCACCGACACGTCAATCGATATCGCTCCGCGTTTTTCGCGCCACTTGTCTTTCAAATCTAAACCTCATGTAGTAACAAGTGTCGGGAGTGTCGAAATAGCGATGTACTACATCGGGACGTATTGTAAGTACAATATATAAAGAATAATCTCATTTTCCGGTACATATGGCCAATGTTTGTCATGAGACATGTCAAATCAATGTCTATTATTTTCATTATTACTTTCGACTCACTCAAATAGTAGTAAAGTCATCATGTTTATTGATCAAATCTTGGAAATTCGCTGGTATTCAGGAGAGATAGATAATATATATATGACGCCAGAGATGTATGCGACGCTGAAGCTCAAAAGAAAATATGTGTGTATGTGTATATACACACATTTGTTATTGTTATTATAGAACATAAATTTATCGTCGAGCGATATATAGCAGGGATTATTTCTTATCTCGCTTGGCCATCAGTGTGTTCGCTCGCGTAGCGCATTTTTAAACTTGATCTATAATGTGTTATTTGCTTCCTGCTTCTTTCTCTTTATCTCTTTCTGACTCAAACCTTAAGCTTTAAACCACAAAAAAATAGAAGACAAGAAACAGAACGCAAGAACAGAAAAACATATTGTAAATTAGGCTTTAACGATATAACGATGTTTTTCCGTGTAACGCTAACAATCTAATGTTTGTTCCGATGTCGTTCTGTTGTGCACAGGTGTAAGGAACCCGGTAGATACTTGAAGGATCTGCCGCCCACAGCAGTGGTCATTTGCTTCCACAACGAGGCTTGGTCGGTGCTGCTGCGCACGGTGCACTCGGTGCTGGATAAATCGCCGGAGCATCTCATACAGGAGATCATTCTGGTCGATGACTTCTCCGATATGCGTAAGTGAACCTTTTGTGGAAACACCATATAGCGGAAGTTGCGTTGATTTCGCATCTTGCATTAATATTTAATTTGCCATTGAATTAAACTGCAATTGAAATTAAAAACAATAGAACACTACATTTTTACTAGAACGATAACACGGTTATTACTGAATCATGAAAACGTGAAATAAACATTTCCTTTTCTGGTTTATCTTCATTCTTATTCGCAACAGGAGAAAAAAATTCGTAGTTTTAATATTGCGGTAACCAAAAGTACCAATGCCTGCATATGTAACACGTACCTAATTCTGAACATTAATTGTCCAGACTTTAATTATCTTGTTTAAATATGAATATTTAAACTTTTTACGTTAGTTAATATATCTATGTACATCCAAAATAAAGATATCTAAAAAATAAAACATATTTATTCCTTGTAGATACTAATATATTTACTTAAATCTAAATTCTTTCGTTTAAATAAAATAAAAAATTGCTTTTATGTTAAGTAACAGTTTTAAGAAAATAAATATGTCTTTGAAAAAACTTGAAAAAACAAAATTTTTCTTAATGCAGTAATATATATTAACACACATAAGTAAATATATTATTAATACTCGTCAAATAAATATTTTTTTATTTTTTAGATATTTTTTCTATTAATATACTCAATAAATAAATAAATAAATTATATATATATATGTGTTGAAAGTTTAAATGTCAATATATTTAGAAACCAAAACAATAAGAATGTCTAGAGTTAGATACGCGTTCAAACGTATCTTTCACCCTATAAAAAATGAATCGCATGGCTGTATATTTATTAAGTGAGAACAAAGCTCGAGCCGGGTGGAATATTTCAAGTGTTCTTCTTCTTTTCTGTGGCGCGGGCGCGACCAGAGAAAGTGTCGAACGAGTTATTCCCGCGTTATCATCGTCGGGGGCCGCCGCACTTCGCGATTCAAAACGGCGTAGTGTATCGTCTCGAACTACGCGTCTCTACGCGTTCGTTCACCACATCCTCCGTAGCGTCATAAATCCTCGCGCGGCACGCTCATCGTTCTCGCGATGAAATATCCATGGATGGAACATCGAAGGACCGCTGGATGAAGGGAGGAAAGGAGAGGGAGAGGGAAAACTCGTAAGCACAGGGCGAGGTAGAAACCGCGGGCTATTATATTCGTGTACTTGGTCGTGCAACCGCGTCTCTTTCTCTCTCACTCTCTCTCTCTCTCTCTCTCTCTCTCTCTCTCTCTCTCTCCCCATTCCGTGAGACGCGGGTTAAAGTCCAAGATTAATTTATCCCGCGACCTTAATCAACTTTTGCCATTAAGCGCGCGATTTTTCTGAAATTACCTATCGAAATTGCGAGAACTTGTCGATCCAGTCGAAGGAAGCGTATTGTAGCGGCGCTATTGATCGGTAGCGTGGCAGTAGTGCTGCTGCTCTCCAATACTCGTAATCTCGACCATACTTTACGCCGGCGAATTCACCTCGTTCGCGAACTCGACCGAGCGGGTTTTACAAATTAAAAAAAGGTAGAAATAACGACAGTGTAGTGGGCTGCTTTAAAGCTTCGAGCTCGCGTTGCGAGCTCGACGAAAATTTCAAGCGCCATGAGAATCGTAGCGCGAGCCCGGCCGGAAAATTTCGCGCTCTGGTTTCCACGATCAAACGTGGGCTCTCGCCATTATTACATTTTTATCGCTGTACATTTTTACGCTGCTTGAGATAAAAGATATCTTCGCGACACTCGGCAGCCGTTGCCGTAACTCGCGACGTTGCGGCGAATTCTCAGTCGGGGGATTTCCTACGGAAAGAGCGTGCTCGCGCCGTGAGAAATCGCGAATTAGTTCGCCGCGGTACGGGCATTTATTTACAATTATCTCCCATAATTTCCGCGATAACGGCGAAGAACAGCATCTTGGCTTCCTTGTTTCTCGAGCTAACAATATATTCCGGTTATCCTCGGCAAGTGACGTTAAGCCCGAGCTGCGCGCCGGCTGCGTCCAAAATTTAGGACGGCTTAGCGTCGACCGGGCGCGATTATCGGTCGAATTTAAATGGAAGGCGTGCTTAAATTTTAACTCTCGCCAACTCTCTGCTT